AAAAACGAATACTAAATCGAGTTCAGGCAAAGAAAAAAAAAATACCAAACCTGTGACGCCTCAAACCAAGAACTCGAAGAGAACTGAAATTCTACTCCGAAGTCACTGCGATTTTTGGGTGCCCTACTCGCAGCTTCGTCATCATATCTTCTTCTAGTTTTGTCCTAAGCAGAGCAGGGCCGTTGATTTCTCTTGGGTTAGTTTGTCCTTTTTTGGGCAGTCTCGTTTAGGGCGGTACCATTAGCCATAGGCCCAATTGAACAAAATTAAAAACAAAAGTACAAGACTGAAATTGGGCCCAAAACTGTCAACTCTATCAAAACCCGGCCCTTTACGTGATCGGGCTGGGGGATGGTCATCCCGGTCCATAACCCACCAATCAATAAATCAAACTAATAAAGTAAAAACCTAACTTTTTTAATTTGTTAAACATGAGAACACATAATATTAACTAAAAAGCATTTTTATTTAAATTTCAGAGATTACTGTAGTAGTAGTATTTTTTTAAAAAAACTTTGAGTTATATTGTTGAAGACCACATTTTCTCATAGTTTAACTCACTTCATTTATATATTATGTAATTCAAACTCATAATATTTTTACCTTTGTAAACTATTTAAATCGTTGACATAATAACAATACTTTTAAGTCAATATTTAGAAAAAAAAAAATTTAGACAACAACATTCTAAGAATGAGGAGGGAAAAAATCAAATCACATTTATTAATCACAATGATCCGAGCTGACTTTTTTTTACTAGCAATTGGAAAACACATTTTATTAAAAATTTTTAAAAATATTGTATAATTTAAATTATAATAAACTACATAATTTGAACTATTAAATAAAAAATAAAAGCTCTCATATTAAAAATTATTTCCTTATCTACTAGTTCTTGTTAACACATTGCAAGTTGAGGTTATTATCAATATTAAATTTGTTAAGACTACCAATATAATTATAATTTTATCAATTTATAATTTTTTTAAACAATTGATAATTATATTTAAAAATATATATTTCTTTGTAAACTTATTTTAATATGTTAAATAATAACTATTAATTATATTGTTAGTTATAAATTATTTTTAATAATGAAGAGTTTTTCTAAAGACATACATTAAGATGTAATTATTGAACTATTTTTACATTAATTTGTATTAAAATATACAAAAAATTATTAGTAATTTTATTATTAGTGTTGTGTAAATTATTTTAATTAAATAATTATTTAAATAAGGGTTCTTGTTATTTTTTAATATTAATTAATATAAAAATATAATAATTATACCTTAATATGTGTCCTAAAAGTACATATTCAAAAAAAAAATTTAACTAATATAATTTAAGGATAAGGGATAAGAAATTGTAGTATTCTAACATTATGGTTTAAACTTCAATTATTATTAAGATATTAAATATATCTATTAAGTGACATATAAAGTCTGCTGCTATTAAAAAAAGCTTAATAATTAAATTAAGATTAAAGTGTAACATTTTTAGTCACATTAACAACTTTAGTAGTCAACATATCCATACCCCACACAGCAAAACAAGCAAATCTTAAGAAATATCATAATGAAACATTGAAGTTTGATATAAAGGACTATACTACTTTTATGACTTTTTAAACACCAAAAAGGCAGAGGGAGCGCGTGGTGGTTGGTACGCAGTCCGCGTTGTGCAGAAGAAAACACGGACCGGCCCAGTGGCTTTTCCTGTCCTTTGCCCTAAAAAATAATCCAAACCCGATGCCGAAATTTAGATGGAAAAAAAAATTCCTCCAAAAAAAAAAGTTGTAGTTATAACATTAATATTTAATAATAATATATTATTTTATTTTATTTAAAAATTCAACCATCATATTATATTTATTTATTAACATATTATAGATATATATATTTTTTAAAACATGAAGAATTTAAAGAAGAAGAATTTTGTTTCTAAGTTGTTAGTGAAAATTGAATTTTCAATCAACTACACTGAATACTTAAGATTTGAGAATAAAAAATTGAATTTGAAGGTCTAGTTCTGCTAACACATTATATTTATTATTTTTTTAACATCATAAATTATAAAAAAATATAAATAGTTGATAAAAATTAAACCCCAACTAACTAAACTTAAATACTAAATTTTAAGATGAATCATAAAACTTAAAAAGACCGATTCAATATATTACATTTATTTTTTAAAAACAAATTGCAAGTTAGAGATGGAAGGATCAAACTTAGTCCAAAGGGTTAAAAGGTACACCTATCAAAAGATACAAACACCAATATGAAAAAGTTAGGTATAATATATTACATTTATTTAACATTATATTATAATTATAAGTTTATAAATTTATAAAATATCATGCATGTAGCACTAAAAAAAAGTGGGTTCCAAAAAGTAAAAGTAAACCAAGCAGCAGGGAGAGAAAGGAAAGAGCACAGTAAACGTGGCACCATTCCCCATACGTTGTCCCTTGACTATACTTCCCCACACATCCTTTCCCCCTTAACCTCCGTCTCGCCGTCGCCGTTCCCTCTCTCCGAACTCGATTTCCCTCGCTGTTCGAATCTCTCCCTCCGTCGAAGCAGAGAGCTTCCTCCTTCCGCCGTCCATGAAATTCTGATTCTTCCAACGGTTAGTATCGGTGCTTTTTTAGTTTTTTTTTTTTATTATTATTATTTTCGCTTATTTTATCCTTCCGTGAGGCTAGTTTGTTTGTTCTAATCAGTTTAGGTTATTGATTGTTGAAGCGAGCAGCTTTGAACCTCAGATTTTATATATTTTGAAGCGTTTTCCTTGATTTCGATGTAAAGTATTTCATTTCAGGCGCTTAATTTCTGGATTATGCCTTTTCTTTTTACCTGAAGTAGCTCTAGACTTATGTACGCAGATATGGAGTCCATAATACTTTTGAGTGTAGCATGATTCCTTTCGTGTTATGAATATATGTATATATATTTTTACATATTTTTCAAATATTTTAGAAAGTCAGGGAATTGTCAATTGATGGACCAAAAAGGTTGCTACTTGACATTCAATCTGTTATAGCAATAACTGTTTTTAATCAATTTTTTTCCTGTTATTAACAACCTATTTGGTTGTTTGGCTGAACATCAAATTAAGAAAAGATTCCAACCAATGCACGGTGCTGTGGGCAACTAACTGGTTAGATTCTTCTTAGATGCTTTTAAAGAAAATTTGGTTATCTGTCTACTTTTCTTTATCAATGTATATTATGCTTAACTTATAGAGTTTAATTGCCTAATAAACCCCTGTCAAGTACCAACCTTTTTATTGGTAATTTTATGTTTTCAATCCATTTAGTTTATGAAATGAAAATTGTCAAGATTTGAAAAGAAGTTAATTTCTTAAGCAATTAAAAGCAATCCATTTCCCTTCTCTCGTTTTGAGAGATTAAAGATGATCTGTTTGTTAGTTTGTTTCAATTTATAATTTAAGGTGATTTCTGAAATTTTGCATTCTGTTCTCCTTTTTTTTTTTTTTTTTTTTTTTTCCCCTTGCAGGGCTTCCTTTGAGGTTTCTGTAGCTTGTATGGTTCATTCAAGTTCTTGAAATAGAGTCTCTGAGTATATGAGTGATCATGGGATCAGCATGTTGTGTTGCTGCAAGAGAAAGAACCATTCCTAGCAGAACTCAAAGTCAGCCTTTGCACAGGAACATAACATGTTCACCATCGTGGAGTTTCCGATGGGATAATCGAAGGCGTGTAGCTGGTGAAATTCAGGAGCCTTCATATCAGGGGTCACATGGAATCAGCAGGGATGTTAGCATGGAGATGAAAGGTGTTTTGGGATCTGGGAGAGGTAATCTTTCTGATCAGGGAAGCCCACTGGAGAACTATGGTACACCCACTTCTGAAAAATCACCAGCCCATGAAGGAGGCAGGAATTTGTTGACACCTCATTCAGGTATATCATGTGAATTTCAATGGCAAATCATCATAGTTGTACTTGTCATGAGCATGCATGACTTTATCAGAAACAAAAACCGGGTTTATATGCATCTGTTTTGCTCTCCATCATTCATTTAAGTCACAAACTGGTACATGAAACCCTTCCACAGTGAAAACAGGCAAGATCTAAACTGTTACTTTTTTTTAATGGGGTTGGTAATAATGCTGATTTTATGAATTCTATTGTGATCAACTGAAAATTACATGCCACTTGCTGAATCTTGGTATATCTTATCAAACTTTAAATTTTTTAGTTTGCTCTTCCATGTGCTTTATTTCTCCATTGTCTCTTGCTGCTCAAGTAATATGGACAACAGTTATTCTGTTTTTATTGCTACAACTGCTGGGTTTTATTTTCTTTCTTCTTATTTTATTTTATTTTATTTTATTTTTTTCTCTATTCCTATTGCAGAGATATCTACAGCAAGCAATTATTCTACAGAGGTAAGCCTGAATTAGGGGAAACTCTATTCAGTAGAGAATATCAGTGCATGTGCCTCTCTGTATTTATTTGTACCTTTTTTTTAAAAAAAATAAAATTTATTTGTACTTTTTAATACTTGACATTTTTTTGTGCTTGTTGATAAGCTAACTTCCATTTTCTGATCATCTTTCAGGTAAGAAACTTGGCAGAATCACCAGATAATGCAGGTTCATCTGCTCCAAAGCTATCAATTCCAATGACTTCATCACTCTCACAACAAAGTACGGATACCACATGCATTCATCTCCATCCTGCAAACTCAACACCTTCTAGAGGGGCCTGCCGTTCACCTGGTCACCAACTGTTGAGGCAGGTTTCTGACAGTCGAATCCTTGGACTGAAATCACCAAACAACTGCTCATTAGCTGAAGGAAGATCATCTTTTGTGCTTTCAGCATGCAGCAATGACTTAATGGCTGGATCTCATGGTTCTGATGGCTGGTCTATGCGCACTTTTTCTGAGCTTGTAGCCTCTTCACAAAGAGAAAGATGGTCTTTTGACAGTGAGCATTTTGGTCCTGGTCCTGGGAAGATAAGTGGATGTAGCAGCAGGTTCTCATATTCTCCTTCTATAGATCTTCAAACTTGTGGGGCTTGCGCCAAGCTCTTGACAGAGAGATCGTCATGGACCAGCAATGAGCTCTCAGCGGTTGCTGTACTTGTCTGTGGACATGTTTACCATGCTGAATGTTTGGAGATCATGACACCTGAGGCTGACAGATATGACCCACCATGCCCGATATGTACAATTGGAGAAAAACAGGTCTTGAAGATGTCTAAAAAGGCTCTGAAAGTTGAAGCAGAGTTCAAGTTGAAAAATCTTAAGATGTTGAGGAATAGGGTTGTAGATAGTTATGTTGATGGTGATTGTGATGATTTCCATCACCAAAGAAATGCCAAGCGAGAAGGTAAAGCTCCAAAGTTGGAACCAAGTTCAAGCACAAGAAGCTCCTTAGCAAAGCCTTTCTTGAAACGGCACTTCTCAATTGGATCCAGGTGGGGTAGGTCCCTGTTGGAGAATGATTCTGCAAGGAAGAAGGGTTTCTGGGCAAAATATTGGAAAGATTAAGTTCCCTGCCATACTAGTGATAAGTGGAGTGAGTGCCTCCAATTAACCATCAAGTATGCTTTTGGTTTTGGCTACATTCCCTCCAATGGTTTGATAAAAAGGCTGCAAATCACAAATATAATTATCATGTTAATCTGAAGGAAGGCTGCAATGATCTTCTGTTGAGGCTTTCAACACAATCTCTGTCTCACTTCCCTGAAGCTACGGATCCCTACATCTTTTCAGGTAATACCATCAGCTGCATGGCCGTTGAAGGGACACTACCTAGACACGCCTAATCACTTGAGCCTATAGTATGTTTTTTATGTGGCCTGTTTTGGGCAAGGCTTGAGTTTGCGACCAACTTTGAATTGGTCTGGAATAAAACTTTACGAGTAGTAATTTTGCAGCACAATAGGGAAAAAGATCATATTATCATTTGGTTTTATAAGTTGGGTATTGTAGGAACTTGGTTATTTTTCTCATCTCTAATTCATCTGAACAAAGAAATGAGCTTGACTCTCATGGAGGAGTGATGTCACACTCTAATTGAATATCTCTCACTTTTGACGTACTTGGATCTTGTAGAGAAATGAGGAAAATGAAATTTGCACGTTTACAATTCCCTAGTCAACTTCTTGGAGTATCGTTCGTTTGAGAGTTTGAACTTTGAATACCAAGAATTTACATCATGTTTTTCAATTCTCCCTTATTGCACAGCATGTTTGTTGTTTAGAGGCGGCTGCCTCGTGCTTACTGCATTAGATTTCAATTCTCCCTTATTGCACGGCATGTTTGTTGTTTAGAGGCGGCT